GTCTTAAGTGGGATGAGTTTCTTCTATATTCGTTGTCATATTGGTCTCTGACCAAGTATGATCTTGGTTCAGGGAGAACCTTTGTAATAGATCCTTCTTTCCATCGATCCTTCCATTTAACATAAACTGGTTGTCCCATCTTGAACTCCTCTGATTGACGTGAAGTTGAGTCATAATATTTTTTACTTTTGAATTTTAGAAGCTCCATTCTTTGGCGCACATCATCGTCTGGTATTTTGGGAATAAGAAGATCAATGCTTGCTGGCGCCCTGGTTCGCAGTCTTCGACCCATCAACAGTTGGCTTGGAGAATACTCGAGCCCAGAAAGGGGAGTTGTTCGGTATTCTAGAATGGCTTCATAAATGTCTCCTCCTGAATAAGAGACTTTCTTTATCATTTTCTTCGCGACACCTATCCCTTTCTCCGAGAGACCATTAGATCTAGGGTAGTGAGGACTAGATGTACAAATTTTAAATCCCCAATGTTTGGCAAAAGCTGCCATTTCTGCACTACTGAACGGGTTGTTATCACAACGTACAATTTCAGGCGTGCCATGATTACTAAAAAGAATTTTTAGTTTTTTGATAATTTCAGTGGATGTTTTATTCTTGAGCGGTATAATATCCAACCATCTTGAGTAGTAATCTTCTACAGCCAGAAAAATTTTCGAATTACACTCGCCTATGTCCATACCAATAACTTGAAACGGAAATTTAGGAATTTCATATGTTATAAGAGGTTCTTTAGGTTTATTGTTTTGGAAGGTTTGACACGTGGAACAAGAATTTATGAAGTTTGTAATGTATTCGGACATGTTTGGCCAATACATAAGGCTCTTAATACGGGAAACGGTTTTGTTTATTCCAAGATGAGCTTTAGAATGAATTTGGCTTACGAAGTGACGTCGGAGACTCGGTGGTATAATAATTCTATCATTATAAAATAAAATTCCTTTATTTTCTGAAAGTTCGTCTCGGAGCCCATAAAAAACCTTTATTTCACGTTCCAAACACTTTTTATGAACTCCTTCCCAAGCATTCCTGATACAATTTCTAAGTTCACTGAAATCATCCCTGGTGGCTTCTTGCAAGATTTTTATATCCTCTGATGGCACCGGCAACAATTCTTCTAGCGTAATGGCATGAACCACCTGAGAAAAGTCTACGTCTTCCGGTCCCTCTTCTTCAAGAAAGGCTCTTGATAGCATGTCCGCTATATACATTTTTGAGCTTGGTATATAGGATAATAAAAATTTATATTTTAATAGCTTCAGTTGCATTCTTTGGAGTCTTGAAGAATTTTTATACAGCTCCTTATTGAGCACTGCTAACAACGGTTTATGATCCGTGAAAATCTCAACATTATTATGACCGTAAATAAAGTGGTGAAATCTATTGACCGAGAAGCATAAGCTAAGCATCTCCTTCTCTATCTGACTGTAATTCTTTTCTGAGTCATTAAGACTTCTTGATGCAAATACGACTGGTTGCCCGTTTTGGAGTAAACAGCTCCCAAGCCCATCCTTACTGGCATCACATTGGATCTCAATTTTAAGTGACGGATCAAACAGTTTGAGAGTGGGCGCATTACAAACTAAAGATTTTATAATAGAGAAAGCTTGCTTCTGTGAATCAGACCATTGCCACTGAGCACTCTTTTTCAATAATTCCCTAAGAGGGGCGGTGACTTGTGAATAGGCTGGAATAAATTTGTTCAAAAAATTTATTGCACCTAAAAATCTTTGAATTTCCTTCGGAGACTGAGGTTCTTTAATATTAGAAATGGCTCTTACCTTGAGAGGATCCGGTTTGATTCCATCTGCTCCAAATACTAGTCCCAAATATTTAACTTCATTTAATTTAAACTGGAGTTTCTTGCTATAAGATTGACTTATTTCTGCTGCTCGACAAATTTGCGTCACCTCCTGCAATGTTAGCGTTTTGGTCTCCTTAATCAATACTTTTTGAACTTCTGGGTCATTATGGTTACGCACTATATGGTCAATTAGCATTCTATCCACGAATGAAGTTTTACAATCGGCTTTAGAGCACACGAAATTGCAATTGAGTGCTTGACTTTTTAGCTCAGTTAAGTAATTATCAAATGTTTGTCCTGGGGAATGTTTTATCTTATTGAATTTAAAGGACTCCATTGCCAAATTTACTTTAGGAATACAATACTCATCAAATAATTTTAAAACAGCTTCTAAAGTATCTTTCTTACCTTGGAATGTAGAATGTATTTCTATGGCTTCCTCACCCATTTGTGTTAATAGAAGAGCTATTTTCAATTCCTCATCTGTTGATTTATACTTCTCTATAGCCTTTAAATAGAGAATGAAGGCCTGTTTCCATTTTGGCCACTTCGTTGCAATGTTCTTGTCAAATTGAAGAGATTGCAGCCGCAAATTAGAATTATTCATTTTCAATTTGTAGGTATTTCACCTGACACCATGTAATATGTATAATTAATTAATAAAAATACCTTTAGAACAAACGTAGGTGTGCTTTATTATTTATTACAAAATACACCATCTGTCTTGCCTTTATCTAACTAACATGTGTAATCGATTATATTATAAATAGAGGTTACAGTCTTATACTACAAAACATAATTGGTTTAGTCAATTTTTTTAATAAAACAATTTTCAAGTTAAAAATCAAGCGTCGTTTGTAATTAAACGGCCAACAATAACGCCAAGCGTGCTGAAATAAAACATCTGGAGAATATATTTCTCTTTCTAAAACACTGATTACTTTTTAAAATATTTGAAGCAGTTCCATAGAAAATGCACTTAGGCGGCAGATAAGCGGTACTGGCGTAGGTTCCTACAGGCCTCTACCACACCATTCAGTACCCATAAATGGCTTAGTGCAATAATAACGCTTTTGTTACATTATATTGATTTTAATAACGAACAAATATTAATGCAATAATTTAATTGTCCTAAACAATTAAATTTTTGTTTTAATTTGTTATGAATTTAGCCATATAATTGATACTGATCCTTGTTTTATTTTCCCAGATTTTGGCACTTCCTTTCTCGTTCGCTTAATGTATTTTTCCAATTTTTGGGTTCAATTTCGCGTTTTCCCTCATTTTGACACCAAATACTAACAATCAGTTCCGGCTACCTAGAAGAACTTATAGCTTCTTCCTTTCCGTCTTTCTTTGTGCAGAGAGAATAATGCATTCAATATTAAAATTTCCTATTTTTTATATGGTCCAACTTCCGAACAAAATAAAGGAAATAAAAATTAATTTTTTCATTAGTGATATATGAGTTTTACTAAACAACCCTTCAACTATTCATTATATGTAGTTCAGATTAGGTATATATTATTTTAGTTTATAGAACCGGTTTGACCCATTTCTGAGAAAGTAAATACAATTTAAATTACCTCTAAGAATCATTAAATATATAAATCAAAGTGGTAAATTCCAAATGTTAAATTAAAAAATTAAGATTAACACCAAAAAACTAACTAAAGTCAGTCCTTAGTCCACCATGTTTGGGGCAGTGCATTTACTATTTTTTGTGGAAACATTGGCTTTTTAAAAATAAATAGTTACAAGGAACACGATATGCAATTTATAGGGATGGGGAGAGGGAGGGGTGCGCGGTAGGAGGGTCTGGTCCACCATGTAAAAACTGACTAAATAGATTATAGAAGGAGATAAATTTTTTAGTCAAGTATTTGTAAATTTCGACCACATTTATCGATGAGAAAACACAGAAAGTGCATCAAAGTAAAGCGAAACCAAAATGGTAAAAGTATATCAAAATGGTTACACTTAGTGCTCAATGTTATCAAAAATGATGATTTGGCTAGGCTGCATTATTTTCATTTTGGTGATGGTTTCATTCATCTTAAGCTCTGCGAATTGATTGATCCTACGAAATTATACATCCAACTGTTTAAACAATAAGAGAAAATAACATCTCCTTTTACATCAAAACACTTAGATTAAAATGGCTAGGACACGTTATGAGATAAATAGAATATATATATATACAGACAAAACAGATGGAAATCGGGCACATATGAATGTCCCGCACAAATGGTGCATGCTTACATCTTGGGCCAGGCCACTGAAGAGATGGTGTAAGACACAATTTTTGGGAATTAAGGATCTCTATTCAAAAGATAGTAAGATGATTAGCACCTGTTTGGAGGTTGTGATAGCCAAGCGTGTTAAAATGTTTTGAAACCCATCTGGATGGGTTGAAATTTATTTCCAGAAGGCACCACGGAATGAATCTTGACCTTCACACTTAAGTTGTACATCTAGAATATGCATCCTCCCACATGCCAGAAATGGCAAGATATGGGGTAATCCAAAAAAACAAAAGTTAGCAGCTGTGGTGCTGGGCAACGATAGCCTTATGCACCTGTAGAGCCGAAAGAAGAAGAAACATAAAAAAGTTAATATCCTTTATTTTATACTCACGACAACATTGCTTGTAGTTTAATTGAAAATTAGCTTATTATTTCTTATTTCTGTTTTATCTTTTAGATTTGTTAAAATTTTGTCTTCACTATTTTGAATATTACTACAAGAAAAATAACACACCATACAACCTTTTATCAAATTCCAATACTCACGCTTTCAATCTCTTCTTGGCTCTCCTCTGCCTAATAAGAGGTATAAAATAATGTCAAGCGATAAAATTGTAATCACGTCAAAATGAAGACATTTTAGCACACAATTAAAAAGTGATTAAATACTGGCCATGAGCGTAGTCTGAAGTAGCTGGAAAAAGATAAGACGCAGCAACTTGTGCTGCGGCTTAGCTTCATGTCTTCTTCAAAAAACTCTAATCTCTTATGGACAAGGAACAACAATTTGTAAAATAATACTTTTTGAATATGATTTACATTTAAATAAAGAATTATTAATAAGTATGGCTTTTTGGTTATGAATATATATGTTATTACTTGTTTTACAACAATAGAGTGAAAAGAATAATTGGGAAGAAAAAATAAAATAAGAAGAAAAAAGACGAAACATAATTTTATTTGTATGAACACGGAACATAAGTACATGGACTGATACAATTCAAACTTAATTTTATCAACAACAGTTCATTTGAAACAACAGTTCATCCTTAAACTAAGTAGTTGGAATGCATAATAAATATTTTTATTTGTGTGTACATGCATGTAAGAAAATGTAAATATCATTGTAAAAAGTAAAAGCCCAGATACATGGCAGAGGAGTGATTTATTGTAATTTCAAGCAAATGCCCAAAAGCAACACATTCACACAAACAAATACACAACACTCATTTTTATCATTCTTCACACACATGCACACACATTTGAATATAATATATATGTAATCAATTCTCTACATCTTTACATAATTTGTGAAACATCAAATATCAGAAATTATAGATCGATTTTTTTGAAAATAGATTAATCTTCTGATTCTTTTATTTTTTTTTTTTTTATAATTTTAATTGTATTCTGTAGTTATACAGAACATATACTTTCTTATGATTATATAAGGAGCAGTTCATAAGTACTTAATATTGCTAAACTAAGCAGAATGGATCGAATGGTCATACATATCCCTCTAGGGTGCATTTGCACATACATGTGCATTGTGTGGTATGTGTGATAGGCCTGACAGTCCAACACATCACTTTCATTTAATGTGCAATCACACATGACACGAAACCATATGCTTAGTTTCCAGAAGAAACAATCAAGACAAGGTTAAAATTAATTTACAAAAACATGTTAATTAAAGATAGTATTTAATTAAACTTATATTCAAATATGTAGTACAAATTTTAAGTGTTTATTTAACTACATTAAATTATTGACAACAATTTATATTTTACAAATAAATAATACAACAAAGAAAATTAATAATGTTAAGTACTGCTGTTGCCGTAACTTATTACAAAATTTATCTTACACCTTAAAAGCAGTTTAAAGCTAATTTAGTATGTAGTGCAATGAATATAACAAATACAAAACACTTAATTCAACTAACTGTCAGAAAAAGAATAAGGTAAAGCTACAAGTAATTCATTAACAAAATAAACTGTGCATATGTATATATAGACTCAAGTACATTAAATATGTAATAAATATACATACATATATCCGATAAATATACATATACATACAATCAAATAATTATCAAGTTGATTCAATGGTATTACAACCATCTTCAAAATATAAATGAAGAAAATAACTTTTTCTTTAATAATAATACAAAAAGAAAAAAATAATAAATAAAAAAGGCATTTTTAAAAATAACAAATTGATCTTGAATAAAAACTTGCAGCTTTACCCATGCGACAAAATATTACTACACAAAATCTATACTAATATTTTCACCCATCTATCAATTAAAAGTGTTGAAGATTTCCTACAGATGTTCTAATAATATATGGTTTATTACTGTGCCCCCATAAGGCATATTTTGGTGGCTATTTCTGAATTTGTGCATAAAAAAATTTAATTTTAATTATACAAAAACGATAGAATGAAGCATCACAAATTTTGTAATATACAATTAAAGAAAGAATTTAAAAAGACAGGATTTGAAACAATCAACTACAACAAATATAGTAATCTTAGTACACTTCAATATCATAACAGCATGGTGACTCTGGGATAGCTAAGGGCATATTTTGATTTAAGTAAAAGATAGATGCAACATAACAGTTTTCAATAATTTAACCAGATATACAACAATACTACAAAAATGAAGCGGATGTAAATTTACAAGTCTGGTTTAAGTTATTAACCAAAAAAACTCAGTCCGACCGCCTCACAATGGAAAGTCTTTTCAATCATTATCATATACACCCACACAACACTTTCTGTTCTTCTTAATAAAATGAAAAAATGGAACATACTCATTAATTCACAAAGTTATGAGACATCTTGATCTTCAACATCTTGAAGTTGTTCTTTTTGCTCACTGTTACCTACAATAAAAACTAAATTAGTATATTAAGTTTATACATGAAATGAATCAATAATGGTATTTAATAAGGTAAACTTGATGATATATTGTAAAAAATAAAAAATCAGTTAGTGTTCAAACAGATTGTTTAAGTGACAATAATTTTATATTTAAAAACCACCGGAGCCCGTAATAAGTAATATTACAACTCCTCTTTTCAATGGCTCGAACGCCGCCGCCGCTGGCCAAACGAGCGCACCACCTCCAACCCCACTATCACCTCTCCTAAATCAGCTGTTCTCCATAGCAGCACTACCTTGCCTTCCGCCACCAATCTCCCATCCTCATCCCAATTTAACCCACCTTCTCCTGTAATTTTCCTACCTAACCAAAAACCACATTCCTCGACTCGAAAACATGCTAAAACTTCTAAGCCCACTGCTAACAAGCCATCCTTCGAACCGAAGCTTTTAACTTCAGAAAAATCTAAAGCTACTCTAGTCACCACTCCCCACGGTCTTCAAGATGACAAACAGGGCGAGTGGACGGTGGTAAAAGAGAGAAGAAGTAGGAGTAAATCAAGAAACAAATCACCCAAAGAAAAGAAAAAATAGCACCAAATTTAAATATTAATTAATATATATAATCATTTAACATTTAAAATCTATGATAATTATTCTAATGTGTGTATATAGCATTTCCAAGTCAATTTCAACCTTTTCCAAGTCAAATTCAACCTTTTCCAAATCAAATTAAACTTTTTCCAAGTCAAATTCAACCTTTTTCATTTCAAATTAAACCTTTTCCATTTCAAATTCAACCTTTTTTTATTTATTTAATTATCTTTAATTTTTCGATGCGTGGGTCTGTTATCGTATGAGTAGTTTTTTAAAATAACCTCCTTTTTAAGATTACATGACTGCGTTTCGAATTATTTAAGTTTTTTTGACTTATTCGATATAAGGGTGTATTTTTATGTTTCCCGATCAGTAAATTTTTAAAATGACATCTATTTTATGTTTACGCCACTGTGTTTTGATTTATTTAAGTTTTTAGAATTTATCCAATATAAAGGTCTACTTTTTTGTTTCCGGAGCCGTAGATTTTGAAAACGACCTCCATTTTAAGATTAGGCCACCGCGTTTCGACTTATTTGAGTTTTTCGGATATTTTTCATATGAGGGTGTATTTTTATGTATCCGGAGCTGTAGATTTTGAAAATGACCTCCATTTTAAAATTAGGCCACCGCGTTTCGACTTATTTGAGTTTTTCGGATATTTTTCATATGAGGGTGTATTTTTATGTATCCGGAGCTGTAGATTTTGAAAATGACCTCCATTTTAAGATTAGGCCACTGCGTTTTGACTTATTTAAGTTTTTCGGATATTTTTCATATGAGGGTGTATTTTTATGTATCCGGAGCTGTAGATTTTGAAAATGACCTCCATTTTAAGATTAGGCCACCGCGTTTCGACTTATTTGAGTTTTTCGGATATTTTTCATATGAGGGTGTATTTTTATGTTTCCGGAGCTGTAGATTTTGAAAATGACCTCCATTTTATGATTACGCCACTGCGTTTTGACTTATTTAAGTTTTTCGAATTTATCCAATATTAAGGTCTACTTTTATGTTTCTTGAGCCGTAGATTTTGAAAATGACATCCATTTAATGATGGCGCCATTGCATTTTGACTTATTTAAGTTTTTCGAATTTATCCAATTTAAAGGTCTACTTTTATGTTTTCGGAACCGTAGATTCTGAAAATGACCTCTATTTTATGATTACGCAACTGCGTTTCAACTTATTTAAATTTTTAGAATTTAACAAGTATAAAGGTCTAATTTTATGTTTCTGGAGCAGTAGATTTCCCCCATTTTGTAAATGACCCAATTTAAAGTTTATGCCACTGTTTTGGATTATAAAAGTTTTTTTTTTTACTTTTTCGGTATAAGGATCTACTTATATGTTATCCGAGACGTATTGAATTTTTTCTAATCTTTAATATTTAAATTTATCTAATATTTAAGCTCCATTTTATGATTAAGCCGCTGCATCTTGATTAATTAGGCTTCATTTTGGATTTTTTCAATACAAAGTTTCATCAATATGTTTTCGAGTATGAATAAATAAATAAATATTATGAAGCTAAAGTAAAATTAACCACAGAATACAAACTAAAAAGCCGAAAAGCAACTGGTAATAAATTTAACCTTCCGTATTCAGATTTTTCAGCTAATTGTTCGAAATCTTATAATTTTGTGATAGGAGACCACAACATTAAAAAAGATAACTAAAATTAAATTAAAAATGAGACAATACATATTTTATTTATTTTGATTAGATATTTTTATTTATTTATTGAAAAATAAATTAATCCTTCGTATTATGTTTTTTATTCGAAGGAAAAATCAAAAACACTTAACAAAACCGAAACACAGTGGCCTAATCTTAAAATGTAAGTCGTTTTAAAAACTAAGGCTCCGGCATCATAAAAGTAGACCTTTAAATTGGATAAATTCGAAAAACTTGAATAAGCCGAAACGCAGTGGCGTAATCTTAAAATGGAGGTCATTTTCAAAATCTACGACTCCGGAAACATAAGAATACACTCTTTTATGATAAAAATTCGAAACACTTAAAGAAATCGAAATGCGGTGGCCTAATCTTAAAATGGAGGTCGTTTTCAAAATCTACGGCTCCGGAAACATAAGAATACATCCTCATATGAAAAAAATCCGAAAAACTCAAAGAAATTGAAATGCGGTGGCCTAATCTTAAAATGGAGGTCGTTTTCAAAATCTACGGCTCCGGAAACATAAGAATACATCCTCATATGAAAAAAATCCGAAAAACTCAAATAAGTCGAAACGCGGTGGCCTAATCTTAAAATGGAGGTCGTTTTCAAAATCTACGGCTCCGGAAACATAAGAATACATCCTCATATGAAAAAAATCCGAAAAACTCAAATAAGTCGAAACGCGGTGGCCTAATCTTAAAATGAAGGTCGTTTTCAAAATCTACGGCTCCGGAAACATAAAAGTAGACCTTTATATTGGATAAATTCTAAAAACGTAAATAAGTCAAAACACAGTGGCGTAAACATAAAATGGATGTCATTTTCACAATTTACTGATCGGGAAACATAAAAATACACCCACATATCGAATTTGTCAAAAAAACTTAAATGATTCGAAACGCAGTCACTTAATCTTAAAATGGAGTTTTTTTCAAAACTAGGTACAGGACAGCATAATACTAGTCCCTAAGAAATCCGAATAGGTACAATAAATCGATATCCGTAAGTGAAAATTCTACTTAGGAGAGCATAATAATAGACTTTCATATTGGAGGGGGGGAGGGGATGGCCATTATTTAAAAAAAAAATATATAATTTACAAAAACTTAAAACATTAATTTGAAATGAAAACGGTTGAATTTGAATTGGAAAAGGTTTAATTTGAAATGGAAATGGTTGAATTGACTTGGAAAAAGTTTGATTTGATCTGGAAAAGGTTGAATTTGACTTGGAAAAGGTTGAATTTGACTTGGAAAAGGTTGAATTTGACTTGGAAATAATTGAATACCACATAGAAATATCACACTGAAAAAATCTAAAATGTTAAAATAAATGGATATGCAACTGCTTAATCAAATTTTTTTTTGTATTTTTTAAAAGCTATGCCGTCGATAATATAGTAAGTGGCCTTCGAAATTTAGATACTCTATCCAGTCCTGTCCTACTAGATCTCGCACTTCCGACTTCTATCACTCTCCACATCGAACTGCTGCGTTTGACAAATCATTTGCAATTCAAGCTACCTCCTTCTGGAATTCCATCCCTGCTGATATTCAACACACAAACAGTTTCCTCTCTCAAATCTCTCCTCTTTAAACACCTACTCCTTTCTCAATCCGCCTGATTATGAAATATATCTAAGGGAGCTGTCTAGGTACCCCCAGGAAATGTTCCTGTTATTTTAGTTTTCTTTATATGTATTATGTATGTATATTTACACTTTTCATGTCTTTTTCTCTCTTTCCGTCTGTATTTTTACTTTTAAATAACCAATATTGTAAATATCTACTCTATTTATGATCACTTACACATATATTCAGCACTTATAATTTGTTCTAAAGGGACAACAGTCCCAGAATAATAAAATATATTTTCATTTCATTTCATTACCACCTCGACGTCAGCTGATGTGTGGAATAAAGTTTGAAAAATTACAAAAAATCCCACTTATCCTCTCTACACAATATTAGTAAATGGTCTATTATTTGACAATTCAATATTCGTTTCAAATGAATTTACAAATTTCTATACAGAAATTATTGATTATCATGAAATGGAACTTCAAAACAACAATGACACTGTTTCGCACTACAATATCCTGTTTTCAATGTGGGAACTGGAAAATGTATTAAATTCCGTAAAAGAGTCCTCACAAGGCCCAGATAGATAACGTTCACTATAGCATGATAAAAACTCTCCCACGCGACATTTTAAATTGGCTCCTTGAATATTATAATTACATTTGGCCCGTTGAGAAAATTCCAAATATCTGGCGAGATTCAATCATAATTCCAATCCTAAAAAACGGGAAAAAATGATTGCCTAACAGTTATCGCCCTGTTTTTTTAACAAGTTGCCTTTGTAGGTCTAATTTAAAGCGAGTTTTTGTCTTCTAAATACTAGGGAAGGTAAACCTGCTTCCAAACAGATACTGAGGATGGGACTAGTTCTGAACACAACAGTTGTAATCCGAATTCTGCCATGATGGACTGGATCAAGTTTTTCAAGGGTTCGCTGTCGGGCAGAGCCCTAAATGAAGACCTGTAATCCAGTTTTGTACAGACCAACGCCCGATATAGTTTTAGCATGGTAAACCTGTCCGAACCCCAAGACGTACCACTAAGTAACCGTAGAATATTTAATTTTCTGGTAGTGGTCGATCTTAATGTCAATATGTGTGGTTCTCAACTCAATTTTTGATCAAATATAATGCCTAAAAATGTTTTGTGATTTTTGTAGGGTATAGGTGAATTTCCTAGATGTAATTCAGGAGGGGAAGGAGTGTTTCTCTTTCGGCTAAAATGGACGCATATGGTTTTCTCTACGGAAATTTGGAGACCAATGTTAATGGACCAGTTTTTGATTCCATTGATTTCGGGGCGGGGTGGCCGAATAGGCTAAAGCGTGTGCAGAACACCGCTAGTTGCCTGACAACCGGATAACAGAGATTTGAGATGATATAAAAAGTACGAGTTCGCGTCCCGGTGCCGGAGGGGATTTTAAATTCCCCGCCCTCACCCCCCGGCCCGGGAGTTTTTGATTCCATTGATTTCGGGGCGGGGTGGCCGAATAGGCTAAAGCGTGTGCAGAACACCGCTAGTTGCCTGGCAACCGGATAACAGATTTGAGATGATATAAAAAGTACGAGTTCGCGTCCCGGTGCCGGAGGGGATTTTAAATTCCCCGCCCTCACCCCCCGGCCCGGGAAAATCCCGTATAGCCTAAAAGGCGAGGTAGGGGAAGGGAAAAAAAAAAAAAAAAAAAAGATTCCATTGATGGCATCTTGTAATTTATTCTGAACAGTGTAAATGTTCTTGGACCAGCAAACAATCGCTAAGTCATCTGTAAACATAAGGGTTTAACACCTCTTGGTAAAAACCCTTACTGTACAAAAAAAAAAAACCCAAATTATTTGTACAAATAGACCATCCGACCTATAAACACATTTTCCAATCAAAATTTTCAACGACTTTCCAACAGAAACCAAACTCAACCCCACGAAAGATCAATCTCGGCTCCATGAAAATATTCCGGAACAATTTTTAATCTATACCGATGGATCCAAGTCAGAAAACTTAACGGCTGCTTCATTTGTTACTTGTGATTCGACACATAAATTTAAACTAAATAGATTAAGCTCTATTTACACAGCCGAACTGTTTGCGATAGCCTCAGCCCTTCATTTCAGCCAATCACTTGTTCAAAGGACTATCGTCATATTGTCGGATTCTTTAAGCGCACTAAAAGGTATAAAATAAATGAATTCGGAACATCCAAATGTTAAGAAAATCCAAACAAATATGTCCACAATCTTAAAACAGGATCCGTCTATTTTATTTTGATTCCGAGCCACATAGGGATTGGAGGCAACGAGCTCGATGATCAAGAAGCCAGAGAGGCACTCACGCTCCCTGGATGGGGTACCGCCATTCTCACCCCAGAAAAACTCAGTAGACCTCTGAAAAAGAGATATATAGATGACAAGCGACGTGGGATGAAAGCTCTCCTAGTAAGCTAAAACATTTTAAAAAAGTGGTGAAACCATGGTCAACATCAGAATTGGGCGTTAGCGAATTAATTTTTAACTAGCTAACGTTCAGCTAAATTAGCTATTAGCGGAAACGAACAGCTAACTTTTAACTATAGCTAATAACTTTACTAAAAGCTAAATAAATCAACTTAAATTATTAATTAACACTAACAGTCGAGTGAAATTTATTCATTTAATTTCATTAATTGATATTAGGATCGACTATAATGTAATCTGGGGCGCTTTTTATAAAATTCTATCGGCTTTGAATTTGGACCACCTCCTCCGCATCGTCTTTTTGAAACTTTTTAGATTTAATCGATATGAGGGTCGACTATTATGATGTGGCGGGCATTTTTATGAAAATAGTGTCGGATTTGATTTTGAGCCTTCCCCCCTCCACCCTGTATACTTTTCGGATTTAAGGGAAATCAGAGTCGACTATTATTTTTGGGGGGCACTTTTTGTGAAAATACTGTTGGATTTTAGATTGCACCCATCCCCTTATAGACTTTTTATAACATTTCGGATTTAATCGATATCAGGGTTGACTATTACGTTTTGGGGGGCGCTTTTAATGAAAAAACTATTGGGTGTTAGGTTGCTGCCTCTCCCCCTCCACGCATCTAATTTTTATAACTTTTCAATTGTAATCGGTATCAGTGTCGACTGTTATTATTTTTATGTTTTGGGGGGGCGCTTTTTATGAAAAATACTGCAAGATTTGAGATTGCGCAGCCCTCTCGACTTTTTGGATTTAAGAGATATCAGGGTCGATTATTATATTTTTGAAGGCGCTTTATAGGAAAATACCGTTGGATTGGAGATAGCGCCCACTGCATTGAGTTTTTATATCTTTTTGGATTTAATTTATATTAGGGTAGCTTATTATGTTTTTTGGTGCTCTTTTTATGATTATTATTAATAATACGAAAATAATTAAAATAACAGATTTAAGATCAGAGATGGGCAAAAAGTACTATGAGTAAAACTTACAAATTACAGAGTATTTTCTTCAAATACTAACGTGGTACGAGTATTGAGTACCTTAATCAATATAATACCAGCCAAAACATATTAGTCAACCCTGATATCGATTAAATCCAGAAAGTTACAAAAATTCAACGCGGAGGAGGGGACGCAATCTCAAATCCGACAGTATTTTCATAGAAATACCCTAAAAGATAATAGTCGACCCTGATATCGATTAAATCTGGAAAGTTACAAAAAGTCGATTCGGGTGGGGGAGGGGGGTGCAATTTCAAATCCAACAGTATTTTCATAAAAAGCACCCCCCCCCCCCACAAAACATAATATTCAACCCTGATATTGATTAAATCCGTGAAGTTGCAAAAAAGTCGATGCGGGGGGGAGGGGCACAATCTCAAATCTGACAGTATTATCATAAAAAACGCCCCCCAAAACATAATAGTCGACCCTGATATAGATTAATCAAATAATTGAAAGGATTGCTAAATTCTGATACTTTGGGAATATGGTGAGTCAGAATGGAGAGAATGATGAAGAAGTTGGGAATTGTATAAGGAAATCGCTAAAAGCATTCTTGCAGCTCTGACCAGTTTAGAAATCGCAAGATATCATAAGGGGAACCAAGCTTCATATCTTCAAAACAAATGTTATGTCATTCTGCTATAAGCTTGAGAAACTTGGAAAGTTACCAAGCAGGTGACCAAGAAGCTACAGACATTCGTCAATAGATGTTTGCAGAATATATTGTGAGTATGGTGGCCTAAAACTCTCATTAATGCCAAGCTCTGGTAGCGAACTAATCAAACTTCCACATATCAGGTCATTAAATGACAGAAATGGATGTGGCTGGGGAACATACTTAGGAAAGGAAAACAAAAACATACCACAGCAGAAACTAGAGTGAAACCCCCAAGGCCAGCGAAGACGCTGATGGCCTAGAGCAGGGGTCTTCGAACTATGATCTTGCTGGTTAGATCCAAGTACTTTCAGTCTGGACCGCAAAAGTTTCTTTGATAAGATTGTAAAATTTCAAAAAAACTATTTAAAAATATGAAATTTAGCTAATTAATCACACACAAGATTACTACATTTATTGCATGGGTTTTTTCATCTTAGAAAGCTCATTTCATAGCTGAAGTGACATTTATAAAACAGAATATTTTTTTTTATCACTAGCCATGGACTAGTGGACTTCTGTGGAAGTTTCAATGCGGCCCGCAGAAAATAGTCAAGGTCTCAATGTGGCCCGTGGGGCAAAAAGTTTGGGAGAACCCTGGCCTAGAGAAAGGTGGAAGAGGATTTTAAAGAAGAAAATCTGCAGCGCCAGACAGAACTGGTCTGGAGTCAAGGAGCTAGCTAAATAGCTAAAGATCAAGATGCCTGGCCGAACATCATGACAGCCTTATGTCCCACCTAAGGGATTCTAGGTACTAATAATAATAATAATTAATAATAAGATTCATATCTTATCTTCAGATCTTCAATATTCAATTTAACAGAAAACGTCCTTAGATACATAGGAAAATGCATTAGTAAAAAAAAAGTATCAATCGACATTTCATTTAATTCAGTGACTAAGAATGTAAAATAATTTATCACTAATTTAATCCTGTTTATGTGTCAATAATCCTCATACAATAAACCTGTTATAATTGCAATAAAAAATATTATTACATTTCTTGATTCGAATGGCATCAAGGAGTTAACTTGCCAGTAAATCGTATTATAAAAATAAAGTACATATAGATGTGCAAACAGCTAAAACTAATATAGGAAGAAACATATAATGTATAAATACCATCGCCTTGCATGTCCGAGGTCCACAATGTCAGATTATCTCTCAACAGTTGCATGATCAAAGTAGAATCCTTATAACTCTCTTCAGAAAGTGTATCCAATTCAGCTATTGCATCATCAAAGGCTGCTTTTGCTAATCTACAAGCTCGGTCCGGTGAGTTTAATATTTCATAATAGAAAACTGAAAAATTTAATGCCAATCCAAGACTGAAAAAGAAAACAAAAGAGAAAGCCAAATTAATATTTAAAACATTAAATTCATTGGAAGGGGCTGGTTCATAAGGGTATTAAAGCTCTCAAATTATTTAAAGTCACTCTCAAATTAAATATTTTTTAAAGTGTTTTTCAATGAAAATACATTTCTTTTTTTAATATTAGTAAAGAGAAAAAATAAAACAATATAACATCTTAACCATGCCCAATTTTAATACATAATGATAGGAAACATTTGAATTGCAGTATATATTGCTCTTATTTTCAATCAATATATGAATGAATATATATATATATATTTTTTTTTATATATATTTATTTAATTATTTATATTTATATATATATATATATATAAATACAAATCTGGTTGTCACTACAGACCATCAAGATCTTTGGCCGCAAGATGTGGTCTCCTTACAGATGTATGTTGCTTGCGGGAGCTCAGATAGACTGGAGGATGTCACTCAACCTCACGTCGCTACGAACCATGGTCTACATGGTGCAGCGGCAGGCCCTCCGTAGCTCCATAGCCGATCCCTTTGGGGCCTTCCCACTCGGGTTCAAGGACAGTGACTAATCGGTCTAGAGACATGGATTATGGCTGCTCGGAGTCAGCAGGCGCACAAGGACCTATATTTCTTTCCCCGAAACAGACCGTCCATGGACCCGACCTCAGGGAGGCTACAAACATCCTGGTAAGCCACATCCCGATTCTCGATTTAAGTATACGGGGTAAGGTCATCAGTCCTACACCCGGTCAATGTGAGTTGCCTCCATTAGCCTGACGGGGCTCACATACCTGGGGTGGGGAGGGGTCACACTCGGGCAGCATGGCTTTCCATGGTGGACGGTCACCGTCAAGTTTCAAGTTCGGCCGAATGGGCTACCGTGTGTGCACAGCACCACGTGTTGCCTGGCAAACAGATAATCAAAAAGTTGGGAGACAATAATTTTACGAGTTCACGCCCCACAGTCCCTTGGGGGTCTTTTAAATTCCCCACCCTCATACCCTGGCCCGGGAAAACCCCTGTATAGCCTAAGAGGCGAGGAAGGGGAGAACAACAAAAAAAAATGTGGGAAACTGGCCAAAAAGGAAAAGTGGTATTTTAGGGAAAAAGAAATTGAAACCGTTAAGTACTATATGTACTTAGGTAAAGGCTTAACCCCTCAATTATCGTTAAATAAACATTTTAATGAAAAAATATCAGTGGCAAAATTTGGAGTTTTTGAAATACCATTTGGAATCGCCTTATAAGAAACCAGAATATACATATAAATGCCAAATTTAAAGTTTTTGAATCAGTGGCAAGAGCTACAGTTTGCTATAGCACAGAATCCTGGGGTTAAGACGAAATATGAGAGATCGAAGTTTTTAACAATTTTTTGCAAAAAAAAACTACCGACCGAAGAACTGTCCATATTACAAATTATATCAAGAAACACAGTTAAAATCTATATTCAGTTATACACTATCTTTACACTTGCACCTACATATTACACAAGTAGTACCTAAGACTATCTGTACGTGGTGAAGAAACACACCATGCCAGAGATGAGCCTGCTTTCAACAAAAGCACAGCGGATTTAGACCGGAGGGTCGATAAATATCCCTGGTGTGAGGCAGCAGGAACACCAGTACTAGCATGGAGCCGAAGACAGAGTCGGCTGGGTCCATGTTTAGACATCATTAGGCAGAGCTGGAGAGCAGCAGAACGGCTGATGTACTGCGAAGGGGCAGGTCGAGCTCCAAGCTGTGGTGAAGGCAGTCCACCTAGGGTTCCTTATTCCCGATATAAAGAGGACCCTGTTGTCCCAAGGTAAAGGGGCCTTTGGGTCTTGTGCCAATCTCCAACCCGAAGTATAACTGATTCAAAGACGATCAAATTGCCTTGGAACTTGACAATCTATTGGTAACAGACAAGGTATGGATAAGGATATTCGACTAGGTATACGGAAAATTAAGATACTTTCTGGTAAAGAGATCGAACTTGTTGGAAAAATCAATAAGTACAAAGTGGACTTATAAATAAGTACTAATAGGCCTCAGTGAAACTAAAAAGAAAAGAAATGGCGTCACAAGGCAGGTAAATTGATTTACAATGATATACTCTGGGATGAATAAGAGAGAGAGCGCTAAAGGTGGAGTGGCGTTTGCTATGAAGGATAAACGGTTTGACAGGATGGAAAGCTGGGAAGCTGTCACCACGCATTATATTAGCCAACATCCAACTCGCTATTGGTAAAACCTCAATCATCCAGGTTTATGCTCCTATGGAAGACTCGCCGGTTGCTGACAAGGACCAGTTTTATGAAGATATGAAGAGGTCTGTTGATAAAGGCCGCGTTAAGAACAGAATAGTTATCTGTGGAGATTTCAATACCAGGACAACCTTAACTCCCATGGAGTATTAGGTCTATGGGGTGGTGAAGAAGTTAAAAAAGTTATGGCCAGAGATTGATAGAATTCAGCATAGAGAATGACATGCTTATTGGGAATTATCACTTCAGACATAAATTAATCCATAAAATTACTTTTGAAACGGAAGGATAGGAGGCCAAAAGCATAATAGAGAACATTATTTTTGACATTATTGAGAACATTATTTGACAGAGGAATGCATAGATATTTCACAGGTGCAAAAGCAATTACAGGGGCAGAGTTAGGCATCGATCATCGCCTGGTTGTTGCTGACATTAACGGTATTTTGCTGTCAAATGAAAAAGAAATTCTTAAAGTACGGCAAAAACACTAGCAGAATACCTTTTCCTTCCAGGAATACAGATTGATATGATGGCTGTTTAAGACCTAGAATCCGTGAAAACCAGGTGGAGAGTAGTGAGAATGATGTTATAGAAGAAAATGAGATTGTATTGGCTATGGAGAAAATATAATTGGGCAAAGCAGCAGGCAGGGATAATATTATGCCAGAATTGATAAAATATGGAGAAAAAGAAATGGTCAAGTACCTCCAGAACCTCTTTCAAAAGATCTGATCGCAAAAGAAAATACCTCAGGACTGCGAAAATAATATTATAATTATTTTATTAATATTATAATTATTTAACCAGACAAAATGCTAGAATTATAGACCAATATGCCAATCAACTGTAGTATATAAATTATATAAAATATATGAACAGAGACTCAGAAGATTGGTGGTGCATGACCTGGAAGAGGAGCAGGCTGGCTTTAGACCAGGGAGGCAAATCCAGGATCATATTTTCTCATTAAGAATGGTTTTTAGACATGGGATAGAGGAAGAAGGCTATTTTTCCCATTCCTGGACTTGGAGGCTGCATTTGATTCAATTCCTCACAAACAGATTTGGAATGCTCTACAGGAAAAACGGGTGCCATCCAATCCTATCAGCGCTATCAAATTGGTATACCAGGATACCAAGGGAATAGTGCGGCTTAACAGATCTGAATCAGAGTTGTTTAGGTATTATAAAGGAGTCAAGCAAGGTGATAGCCTAAGCCCACTACTATTCATCATATGCATGGATGAAGTATGGAAGGTATGTAAGCGAAGGACATCCAGAGCAACAGTGGGGTACTGGAATTTAATCCCTCTGCAGGCACAAGCTCTCCTTTATGCAGATGACGTGGTCCTGATTGCCAAAACCCAAGAAAGGCTTCAGATGGCTGTCAATGAATGGTCAGAAGAACTCCAGAGGAAGGGAATGGAAATAAACCCTTTAAAAAGTAAGGTGATGCTCGTTGGCCGAGATGTGAAAGAGCAAGTTCTCATAAAATGTAATAATGAGCCATTAGAAAAGGTAGATAACTACTAGTACTTGGGCAAGATTTTTAGCAGAGATGGAAGGATCGACCAGGTTTTAAATAGAGTCAAGAAAGCCAATGGTGTGTTTTACTCTATCTGCACTACAATATTAGGGAAACAGGAGGTAAAGAAGAAAACAAAAATAACTTAATTTATTAAACAGTATTTCTGCCTGTCCTTTTGTATGGTGCAGAGAGTAGGACGGTCCTGGACAAACATGCAAATAAAGTAATAGCCATAAAAATGAGATAGCTCAGGAGAGTTCTTGGAAAAACACAAAGAGACTGCTGAAGGAACAAGAGGAACTGAACATAAGGCCTGTAAAACAAGTCATGGAGGAGAGCCAACTGAAGTGTAGTTCCTAGAAACAAAACAAGAGGGAAGGCGACCTAGATGCAGGCCCAGACTGTTGTATTGTCACTACATGGAGAGACCTGGGCAAGCCAGAGGTAGCAACATGGTGGATATGAGAAGAATGGCCAGTGACAGGGATCAGTGGACGAGACGGGCTGAGGCTGTTCCTCCAAGCTGATGGCACTAAGGAGTTGGCAAAATAAGAAGAAGAAGATATGTATATATGTGTATATGTGTGTGTGTGTGTGTGTGGTCCTTTATATCGTTGATCCCACTTTCGACGACTGGACAGTGGTTAACAGTAGACCGTCATGCCTAATGAAATCTTGTGGGATTCGTACGGTATGGCCAAGCTATGCTGGCGCGCTCTAGAAATTGCTCCCCGAAAGTTTGTTGGGCACTGGCTGGGATATGGCAGAGTGTTGTTTACGTTTGTGAATTATAGTGTCTCTTTGTTAATTATATCTATCCATGGCCTTCCACGTGGTCTTTTGCCTTCTATTGAGGCATTCATTGATAACTAGAGGCTTCCAAATGGATTGCTATGAGCTACATGCCCCACCCATCTTAACCACTCTTAGTTTGAGGTTTCTTGGGATATCAATACCTTTGAGAGGGAGAAGAAAGCTCTGTTTGCGCCAGTTATACGCTGGTCTATTTCTCTCCATTGGCCATTTATGGCATGGACGTCCTAAATATATATGTAGGGGAGTGGAGTAGCTTAGTTGTAGGGCACTGATCTTTCAATGCTCAAGGTCCCATGTTGGAATCCCAGTTCATGGTGGAAAATTATGTTTCATCAGGCATGGGGCGATCCTGGGATCAGGAGACCCTCCTGGGGCACACCCAGCCTCTATAAAGTGTGCCCCAGTGACAAAATAAATATTTAAATAAATAATTAATTAGGGGAGAAAACCTGGCGGGTGAGTGTGGTCTCAGTCAAATCACCTCCTTACACAACCGTTGACTAAGAACTTTCCAGCACTTTCCCTAAAATAGTACTGAACCCAACACCCTTTATGGGTTGTAGTGGTACAGGTATTGTATATATATATATATATATATATATATATATATATATTATATATATATATATATATATATATATACACATATATAATTGTGGATTGATGGTTGACTGCAGTGAATAATTGAAGAGAAAATTAGTTGGGGAGATCAATAAAAGAAAAATGTAAAAATAAATATCTTATTTATTTTTACATTTTTTTTTTTTTTTACTTTATTCCCCAACCAATCTTCTTTTCAATATATATATTTTAAGTTCCATGTATACATGGAACTGGAAATAGGTAAATAATAAATCACAAAAGAAATACCGTATAGGATGCGTTGGAGGTAATTCTGTCATAGCTATATCACTTGCAGCTTTATAAGCAACAAGAGAATTTTCAGCAGCTTCTTTGCGATCATTTCCAGTAGCAAATTCTGCCAAATAACGGTGATAATCACCTTTCCTGAAAGTAAAATTTATACAAGTTTGAGTCTATAAATACAAAAGAAAACAGAGAAATATACTATGAAAAAATAAAATTGGAAACAAAATTGTCTAAACATTTAAAATTTTAAGTGACTCATAATTCACTTATTCAAATATTGCTTATTCAAATATTGCTAGAGTTTCTTAAATGCACTGAGGAATGAAAAATCGGTTAAACTTTTCTAGTTCTTCCCTGTTCCTTGTATTAGGGTTAATCAAATATAAACAGTGATTAATTTTATAAATTTACTGATTCATACTATACACAAGCCTTATTTTTAGTATTTCTCAATATAATCAGTCTCATTCTTGATCTACACATTTTATACATTACAGTTACCTTCAACAATAAGGAATACTCAACTGTTTTTAACAGGCATGATATAGATATGTATATTAATTAGTAACAAACTAATTATTTTTAACATTAATTAATAATAACCAAGAAACAGAACACAAATGTTAGGTTATAACTGGAAAAATTCCAAACCACACAGCCTTATGTATTAAAAATTCAGGCAAAGAAAAAAAAGCCGTCAACGCTTCACCAATTCAGGTAAGAGAAGAATAGCAAATCGAACATCAGTCCATGACATCCAATCGCATACTGATTCTTTATACACCAGCCAAAGCTGTGGGAATGCTTTTGGGGCTTTCCTTATACGGTTCCCAACTTATCATCTGCCCCTCCATACTCCCAAGGTAGCAGAATTTAGTAATCCTTTCAATTATTTGATCTTCTATAATAAAATTCTCCTGGCGCCTACTATTCACAACTTGTCTTGTTTTAGCAGCATTAAGGCCAACATTTTCAGTTTCCTCATTCAGCTTCTCCTGCATATCACAGAAACTTTGGGCAAAATAGCATAAGTCATCTGCAATGTCCAGATCTTCCAGTCTTTCTGTGAGCCTCCATAGAAGTCCTCTTCTTAAAATGATGTCGAGTACCATAAGGAATAAGATAAGGGAGAGAACATTTCCTTTAATTACTTGAGGTGTGATGATATTATTTATAGTTATGGAGAAAAAAGTCCCCATTGTGAAACGAGTTGACCTAAATTAGTTAAAATCGTGCCGTTCTAAATCTCTAGCTTTCATATTGTGAAAAACACTTAATTTTATATAAGTTACTTCCTATTTCTCTTTAATCTAAAATATTTGTAATTCCTTCATTAGATCTTTCTGTTTATATATTTTCAAACCCCTGTATCCTGCTCATCAGAACACCCGTCAACGGCAAGAAATGTCATAACCAAGAACGATGGATTTTTTATGATTTTGAAATCATTGTTTTGCACCAAACCTTTGCAGGTTTGTAATGTAGAATAAAAAAAAAATGGAATTGGTGTTTAGGAATAAAGAGATTGAGGTAATAAGAAAAGAAAACGCCTTGGGTCTATAACTGGAGATGGAAATTTTTTCCAGAGGCTACAGGATAAGCATTCACGAGAATAAAAGTACCAAGCCTATTCTACATGAAATTGTACTTTGGAGAACACAACATAGTAGCAAAGGTATTTAAATAAAAATGTTAATTTTAGTTCTTTCACTCCAACTTTTGTCTGCTTGAGCTAAATTTTCAGAAAATAATTACCTTACTCTGTTGAAATATAAGTATTGCACAAATGATAAGAGATTTTACAAAAATAAGTCTGCTGAAAACATATTTGTACTTTATTTATTAAAATTTAAGTTAAAAGATCTAAAATAAAAAAATAAAGGACAATTTTTTGTTAAATTATGAAATATTGATGATTACTTACATTTTATAATAAAACACCTTGGATTCCCCAGTAGATGCACAAGGAATAAGGTGTTTATCCAGGACACCCAGTATGTCAGAACATATCTCTCGAAGTTCTTTCTCCACCTTTGAAATAAGATAAATACTGGGTTCAACAAGCAGATCTCAAAATTTATCATATTACAATCAAAAATACGATAGTCACCCCATTATTTCATTATTAAAAAAGCATGATTTCAAGATGGGTTTTTATATGGTTAGCGTGCTTTTCAATATCAGGGCTAAAAGAACTAGATAGAAAAAAAATATTGTTAATTGGTATAAGATATTTTTTTTCTGTTGGCATTACAGACCATGTAGATCTTTTGCCGCCTTAACAAGCCTGCTTCATCTGTGCCTGTCTTTGGTTATTTATTTCCATTTATCTGCACGCATCTTTATCGATTCTATCTATCCATCTGCTTTTTGGCCTTTCACGTGGTCTTTTGTCTTCTATTGAGGCATTCATTGTTATCTAGAGGCTTCCAAATGGATTGCTATGAGCTACATGCCCCGCCCATCTTAACCTTCGTGCCTTCATATCAAGGAATATTGATTGATCAGTTTCTGTAAGCACTTCTTTGTTGGTCTTTCTTCTCTATGTGTTAGTACTCTGATCCCAGATCGCTCCAGTTATCGTATGGAGGAGGATTTCTCTCTCAAATCTTTTTTCTAGCGTGCTGGTTAGTGTCCAGGTTTCACAACCCTATATTAGAACTGGCTTTAACATAGCATTGTATACCTTTAGTTTGAGATTTCTAGAGATTTTTCGGGATTTAAATATTTTTGAGAGGAAGAAGAAAGCTCTGTTTGCGCTGGTCTATTTCTGCTCGTTATAAACTTATCAGTGTTGTAGCAAGATTCTCAATGTCTTCTTGATTACTTCTAAGGACAGCTATATCATCTGCGTATCCAAGGATTTTATGATTCATTCCGACGTGGACCCCTCCATTTCCCTTTGATGTTTCTCTTATTACCTTCTACCTTCTCTAGGGCTAAGTTGAACAACATCAGAGATAGTCCATCTGCTTGCCGTAAGCCCATTCGAACTTTGAAGGGTTCAGATAAATTTCCTTGTATAAGGACACTACATTTGGGGTCATTTGTACATGCCTTTGTCAATCTCACCAACAACGGGAATTTCCAGTTCAGTCATGATTTTTCAGACAGCTCATGTCCTGAGCTACTTCCTATCGTTTTCTAATAACTTGTTTTCGGATGAAGATCTAGACTAGCGTGCTCTTCCCTTTTCTGAATCCAGCTTGGTGGTTGCCTGTTATATTCTCTTAATACGGATATATCTGGTTTAGTACAATATTGGTCATTATCTTGTAGGGGACCGGTAGGAGTGCTATGCCTCTGTAATTGCCACATTCATACATGTAGCCCTTCTTAAGGATAGGACAGATTAGGCCCGTATTCCAAGCCTGGTATACGATTAAAAAATAAAATAAAAGTTAATACTAAATAAGTACCAGATACCAAGTATCAGGTATAGATGTATTGTAATGGAGCTGAAAAATCACAAATAATAAATGAAACAGGCAGATTAAAATAAAAGACAACATAGATAAAAATGCAAATAGTAAAATATGAAACATATAGACAGAAATTCAAACAGTAAAGATGGTATATAAGTGAATTTTATAATCTATAGCAGTACAATATTTTTATATATATATATATATATATATATATATATATATATATATATATATATATATATATATATTAAATTAGATGTGTATATTACATGCACTGGTAGACTATACTGTATTACACATTACTACTGTAATGGTTGAAATGTTAAAAACAAAATATATATATATATATATATATATATATATATATATATACAGTATATATATATATACTGGAGGAAATGAGAACAGTTTTAGGAAATTAGGGAACCGATATTAACAATTTATTGTTATTTTATAAACTGAAAATTTGGGAGCAGGCCAGGGAAAAATCTTGTGAATCGTTTTTGATTCTAATTGGATGAAAATGCTCTTGAGTGTAGCCATTAGTCATGATAGGATACTGCAGCAAGTATTGAAGTATTGTCAAAGTCAAATATATGGTTTTAGGATAATCAGAATAGGTTTCAATTATTTATTCCATTATATATTATTATAAATATTACATATGTTGTAACATCTCTCTTATATTTTAAACTAATCATATAACCTCGGAAGACCACTTTATACTGTTGGGATACTTCCTAAATAAATAAGAGGCTATTAAATAATAAACAAAATTATAAGAATATTAATATAATAAACTGAAATTTACAATGATTTTATCTGAAGGTATGGGTTACTGACAAACAGATCAAAACACTCAGAGAAACTATTATCATTTCCACTATTTATACTAAAATTAAACATTGATTTTAAAATAAAGTAAAGTATGAATTGGCAAGCCTAACCCCTAACCTTCTTCCTAAATATATACTGTTTCTTCTTTTGTTGCACTAAATTCATTTGTCTTCAAATGCTCTCCAATCTTCTGCCAAAACACAACTTCCAAAATGGTGACACTTTCTTCTATTCAACTCATCAAGCTGGGAGATCCTCTCTCTTGTAATTCCAAAATAACTAGTCTCTCCGCCAAACTAAAATTTCCAAGCTGGTAATACTATTACTAGGTTTTACCCACTGGAACCAGGATCCCTTCTCCTGTCCTCTCTTCACTGCAACCACACAACAACTGCCTGCCAAAACAAAATCCTTTGTCCCATCACCTCTTTGGGATTTTCCTTTTTGGGGAAACTACAGAGCAACTATTTTCTTTTCCCTGAACTAGTAGAACTAGATTAGCTTCCCTTTTAACTCAACTTTCAATTAAGGTGTATATAACAATATATATATATATATATATATATATATATATATATATATATTGTATTTCTATTGATTTTAAAGTTCGCTTATAATTCATCTTTTACTGTTTGCATTTCCATTAATGTTGGTTTTTATTTTACTCTCTCCATTCTCATTTCATTTACTACTTATAATTTTTCATCCCCTACAATATATCTTGTATTAATTTAACATTAACTTACTGTTAAGTTGATTTTGCACCAATTAACAATATTTTTTTTGCAACTTGCAGTTTTAGTCTTGATGAAGACCTACTGTTTAGGTCGAAATATAGGCCAACCAAATAAACACTACAACATACAGTATGCGTCTATTGACTGCACCCATGACCGACTTCTTGAATTAGAACAACAGTCAATTATTTCTGTACAATTATGAAAACATATGTAAAATGTTAGAAAGAAATATTAAGTTAAAGTAGTATTAAGAATTAAAAAATAATACTTGAAGAAAATAAATAATAATAAAACAGAAAAGTTCATTAAATATACTAAGCCTAAATGGTCACAAACTAAAATAACTCACCTGTGCACGATATTGTCGAATCATTGCCAGTTTTTCATCGGCTCCTTTATTTTCTTCTTTTTGTTCAATGCTGCTTATAATCCGCCAGCTAGCCCTTCTAGCTCCAATTACATTTTTATAAGCGACTGATAAAAGATTCCTTTCTTCAACAGTCAATTCTAAGTCTAGAGAAGCGACTAATTTCATGGCTTCAACCATTTCTGTAAATAACAAAATCTTTACTTCATATCTTATTCATAAAAAAAGAGGGGGAATGATTCCTATTGCTCTTAAAATTCAATATTATATTTTCACTTTAATACCAATATTTAACAATGTTTTTACAAGCTGTAAATAAAATATTGTATTCTTTATTAATTGTGGATGGTTCAGTGCACACCAACTGGTTTTTTTCCATGTATGATAAATTATATTTTTTCAATATCTTTTATCATTATTTTTTTTTTTTTAACATTTGTTATTTTTAATGCTTTTACATACCAGGATATTATATATTAAATAGATATAACAGTAAAAGTAAAAGCACGGAGGGACCTCAGGCCCACTTATTGCAAGATTAGTCAGACAAATGGTGAAAGATAAGTTAGTGCAACAGTGAAGAACCAAGAGAGATTTACCCACACGGAATTTAGGCTTGGGAGAGAATAACTCGCACCATGTTTATGTGAGTGAAGCCATGACGCCCACCAATGAACACCTCTATAGGTTAGCCAGACAGAAGAGGATGAATGCAAAATAAAATATGTTCGGTTTAGTGAAGATAAAATTCACTGCAGACAGTCAGATGGATACCCACCGGTGATTGTAGGAAAACCAAGTGACCTTGATGTATTCAGTTGAATTCTATATACAAGTTACCCTGAGTTTGTATTAAATATATTTTTTCATTCCAGAAATATTTTTATTTTCAGTTTTTTTTTTGTTATTTTATATAAATGTAGCTTTTTTTTTATTTCTGTATAAATTTTTTCTTGCTAGAAATTATTTTATTTTTTTTAATTTTAATTTTTTTTTTTTATATTTGTATGAATCATTTAGAATTTTATTTGATTATTGACCAATCTTTATTAATGTATCTAAAACAAGGGGATATTTGTATTCTCTCCTGCTATAAATTATTCTTAACTGAATATTTATTTTAAAATACTGGAAATTCATTCTTTCATTTTAACTTTTATCATATGTTTGCATTTTTATTGTTATTTTTAAACGGAATATTTTATTTAAAAAAATGTTTTATCCTCGATCCTCTTTCTAAAATTCTACTTACCAACCTTATAATTATAACTAATATCCTGAATTCATGTCATTTCATTGCACAATCCCTTATTGCACACTATGATGAATTCCAGAAATATTTTCTTGACAATTTTTACCACATAATAACAGTAACTGAAACCTGGCTAAAACCTATTATCCCTTTCTTTTAGATTTTCCTACCCCATTACTCGTTCCTACGTTACAATAGATCTCATCACACGGGAGGTGGTGTCGGATTATATATCCATGACAGTCTAAGGCCAAAATCCTCCTACAGTTTCCTTCTCGTAACTCCTTACATGAAATTTCCTCTCTTTTCCTCTGTTGTATGGCGTAGTTTACCATCCTCATGTTCCATTTGACAACCTCTTTGAATGTTCCTGTTTTAACCTGGTTTCCAATTACACCAATATTATTATCACTGTTGATTTTAATGTGAATATGCTGTCACAATCTCCTGAAAAATACTTCCTTACTGACCTACTGTTTTTCCTTAACCCTCATTTGGTTCCTTATTATCCCACCCATCACACACAATTTTCCAACACCTGATTAGACCTATATATCTCAGACTCTTCCATCAAAATCCCTTCCCTTTCTCAACATTTCTTTCATCACATGACCTGATCCAAATTGCAAATGACCTACCCGTGAAATCCTTCACCCTCAAAATAGTTTTATAACGCAGTTTAAACCTCTCCTATGAATCCCTTCAACATGAACTTAATTCTTTCCACTGGGACATTATATATTCCTATAGCTCCATTGATTCTAGGATCTCCATCCTGTCCTCAAACCTATTATACATCCATGACCAACTGAAAACCAGAACCTTACGTCGTCCCATGCACCTTGGCAGACCAGTGAAATAAAGAAAATGACAAAAAGAAGAAAGGAAACGAAAAAGCTGATGAGCTCGCACGGATCGCCTTGGAAATGCCACAAACTAATCCTCCGTTGCCCTACAAATCTGTTAAAAGGATTTGAAAATCCTTTTAAGAGGAAGAAGACAAGAATTGGCAAAAGCAACAGGCAGCAGGAAAAAGGAAAAGGAGAATCTTTAACAGAGGGGGCGAGGAAAGAAACAAAAAATAGGAAAGAATTGGTGGCGAATTTTGACTGATGACTGGACACAATTACCTGCAAAGTATTGGAGTGATGGAAAGCTTCCATAAAGCCCTGTCCAATTGCTCCCAACTCAAAATCGAAATGGAAAATACTCCGTAATCTATCCCTACCAGAATCCAATAATCTCACAGTTCCTTCTCAGGATCTCCAAATGATCTCATTAACCATTTCTTATCCTTATCTCTTAATTCTTCTTCTACTTCTGATATTAAACATCACCACTTCAATCCTGAAGACTTCTTTTTCTTTTATGTGTCCTACGATCAACTAGTTTTCACTATTTTAAAATCTTGCACTATGATTATGGTCCTGAAAATATTCCAGTAAAATTAATAAAATCCAGCCTTCCTGTTCTTATACCCATGCTTTACCATATTGACAATTTTTCATTGGAAAACTCCATATTCCCATCTTCCTGGAAAACAGATTTAGTCCGACCTTTGAATAAAAATTCTAACCTTTTCTCACTAAATGACTTCCGTCCTATTTCTCTGCTTTCCAATCTTCCAAAACCATTGGAACGCCTTCTCCAAATTCAACTTCCCAACTTCCTAGAGGAACATTTCCCCATCAATCCATTCGAATCTGGCTTTCGACCTGGTTACTCAACGCAATCCGCCCTCCTTAAAGTAAGCCATGACCCCCAAAACTCCATTGAACACCAAAATCTTACTATCCTCATCCTTCTGGATTTTTTCAAAGCGTTTAACATAGTTAACCATAACATCCTTCTTACTAAATTGCAAAATCTTCCTCTATCCAATAGTGCCCTGTGTTGGTTCAAATCCTTTCTTTCAGACCGATCCCAGTATGTAGATGTCACAGGTCAACCTCCTTCTAAGACACTTACCCACTCCTGTGGTCTCCCTCAAGCTCCTCTCTATCCCCTACTCTGTTTACTATTTACATTAATGACTTTCCCCTCTTCCTAATTAAAATTATCAAAACAAAACCTGGGCTTGCATCATTTGTTACATAATGATTAGGTAATTATGGTCTAGCTGGGCATAGCAAGGATGAAATTCTGCTCTTCTTGCTCTTTGCAAATCATCCTCATTATATTTTTCATTTATTTTATGACACAGCTTTTAAATGGTCTGCCTATCCAGTGTAAGAGTATTTGTAGTCAAATTAATCCCCAAAACTCGTTTTATGTAACTCTTTTTACCAGTATATTTTTTTTTCCATTATTATTTTTGCTGTTAAGTTGGTGTATCTCTCCATGCCAACAAGGTTCAACACTGAATTTATAAACCTGAGATGTAATGAGAGGGTATATAGGTGCAGTCATTTAAAACCTGTCGCAATGTAGAGAGAGCGTATAGTTAGTGGTACCAACCAGTAAATTAAATAATTTTAGAATGAAGTACTTATTGAATTTCTCTACCTTCTCTTCATATGCAAAGCCCCCCATAGCTTTCAATTCGCATAGCTCACAATTAAATTGATAGCAGCATTATAGATGGACATTTTCTTATCTAGAGGTATTTCTTTTTTCATTATAATTCCACCCCATATACTGTTCAATGCTTGCTTTGCATTTTATATCATTTTGCTCATATGTCTCTAAAGAAAAAATGAGGATATGAGAGTGACACCTAAGCATTTTTATTGAGACACAATTTCTATTTTTTCTTTGCAAAAGAAAAACAGTTTTCATACTTTTTTGGCTTGCCCGGGTGGTTGCTTTTAATAAACCATCACTTTTGATTTGCTCATATTTACTTTTAGGCCCCATTTATTACATTATATCTCCAGACTGTTGATTATTTTTAGTAGAGTTAATGGACATGTGGCAAGTAATACAATGTCATCAGCGTACTTTAATAGCTGGACAGTTTTACCTTAAATACTAATACCGCCATCCAATTTGTCTTCAAGATCATTAATGTAAAGGGAGAAAAGTGTTGGGCTTAGTAAACATGCCTGCTTTACCACATGTTGGTTTTGGAAAGTTTGTGTTATTCCATTAGCAGTCCAAACCACAGATTCAGTTTCCACAGGCATCGTATTTCATCAAGTATTTTGGTCGGTAAATGTAATATTGATAGTTTAAAAAAAAGACTATGTCTATTTATATTGTCAAAAGCTGATTCAAAATCCACGAAAAACAAGTTAAAAAAACTTTTTGATAAGAATAAAATTGTATATTTATTATATTGAATAAAGTAAAATAATATCTAATGTACTGTAGTCAGGAAGCCAGCTTGGCATTAATTAATTATATCATTGGTTAATGTCCATTGGGTAAGCCTATTAAGGATTAAGCAGGAATAAATTTTTGCAATGATGATGATCCTATAATGCTATACCCCTATAGTTCTTTACATTGCCGATCTCTCCTTTTTTATAAATTGGCATAATAATAGATTTATTGAAATTATCTGGGATAATATGCCCATTCCAAAAATTGGTGAAAATTACAATAAAAAACCTTAAGATCTCTTCAGGGACATTTTTCCAAAATTCAAATGGGATCTGGTCCAGGCCTGGGGCTTTCTTATTTTTCGATTTTCCCAAAATTTGTGAAAGTTCCTCTGAAGTAAAGTCCATGTGAAGGTTTTAATCTTTCATTTGAAAAGGAGTAATTATTGGATAATTTCAGATACTGGAGGTGAGTTAAAACAAATTATTGAAATGGTAATTCTAGTATTAATCTGCGGACTACATACGATTTTTTTATTATTTCTTAGATAGTGGATATTTTCCTAAAAGGATTTTGAATCTTTTGATCTCTGAATTTTTTTTTTTTACAATATTTCCAGAATACTACTTCTTTTTAAACTGACATAAATTTTTGTAATTTCTGCTT